ACACCGGCCCTCCAGGACCGAGTTTGGGCACCTCTGGTTTAGCTCCAACCCTAATCAAACACACCTGAACAATCCAATCGAGGTCTTCAGGATTACTAGAAAGTTACAGGCAGGTAAGTTCGAGGATGGAGCTAAACTCTGCAGGAAAGTGGACCTTGAGGGCCAGAGTTGAGAAACCCTCCTCTAACATGCACGAGTTGTATGATATGCTCTCATCCTCAAACCAATGAATATTTATTTATCAATTATCAAGATGTTTCGAAACCATCAAAATGTGAGATACACATTTTCCTATTCAGCCTATGTTAATTATTTTGCATTCTGTTGGGCATTTGTGGTTCATGGTAATGCATTTCAATGTTTGATTCTCAGAACATTTTTGTTACTTTTTTATGATTGACAATTTTGGTACTGTTGAGTCACCACTAGTTTAATTAAATTAAATGTAAAAGTTAAAAATCAGATCCTGAAACAAAAAATCCCAAAGGACTGAACCTATAATAAGAGCACAGCAAGTTTTTGAAAAAAAACTGCCTAATTCTGAAAATGGAGAATTAATATAATGAATGAAAGAAAAAAAAAATCCCACTTCCATTCTAGATCAGATGAGCAGGCTAATAAACACAAAGCTGGCAGTGACGACGACAAAGCATGAACAGTGTTCCTGTACATTATAAATAGAAAAGCCGGCATCAGAATGACACATGCCACATGCGGCCCAGATGCATGTGGCACTGCGAGATTTGTCGCATGCTGCGTGAGTGATGTCAGAGCAAGAGTGCAGCATGGCAGGGCTCCTGCGGGGATGGAGGCACTGATCAAAGTGCTGCGGTTTGACACTGGAGGTGGGGAGCTATTGTTGATGTCACAGCCAGGCATGGCAGCAGAAGTCGAGAGCAAAGTCAGGCTTAAACAGCAGCTGTGCATGATGGGACTGCTGGGTTTAAGCTGGGGGTTGAAACCGGACCAGCATACGCGCCCTTCTCTGTCATCTGTGTGCAGGAACACAACTGCACCAAGGAAACAAAAAATCCCAAAGGACTGAACCTATAATAAGAGCACAGCAAGTTTTTGAAAAAAAACTGCCTAATTCTGAAAATGGAGAATTAATATAATGAATGAAAGAAAAAAAAAAATCCCACTTCCATTCTAGATCAGATGAGCAGGCTAATAAACACAAACCTGGCAGTGACGACGACAAAGCATGAACAGTGTTCCTGTACATTATAAATAGAAAAGCCGGCATCAGAATGACACATGCCACATGCGGCCCAGATGCATGTGGCACTGCGAGATTTGTCGCATGCTGCGTGAGTGATGTCAGAGCAAGAGTGCAGCATGGCAGGGCTCCTGCGGGGATGGAGGCACTGATCAAAGTGCTGCGGTTTGACACTGGAGGTGGGGAGCTATTGTTGATGTCACAGTCAGGCATGGCAGCAGAAGTCGAGAGCAAAGCCAGGCTTAAACAGCAGCTGTGCATGATGGGACTGCTGGGTTTAAGCTGGGGGTTGAAACCGGACCAGCATACGCGCCCTTCTCTGTCATCTGTGTGCAGGAACACAACTGCACCAAGGTGAGTCACAATGTAGCTGAACGGCTTTGATCACAGATACATATCTGGAAGGATGTCTGCAGTCATATCCGCAAACTAGTTGTTGGAGCACATGCTACTGTCAATCAGACGGAGGAAGAAAAGCAGTAAACAGCAGGACCTGAAAAATACACGTTCGCTCTGTTTCAACAAGTCAGCAGCCCACCTAAGCAACCTTTTAAGGCATCATAGATGTGCCTTTACAAACAATAGGTAACACAATTACCTGCATTTCAGGACACATTTTTTTTGCCACATTCTAAGGTCACACCACATGTATGCTTCATCAATACAGCAACTGCAGAATGCATTGTGACAATAACATTGTCTGGTGTTCATGGGGAAAAAAAACAAAAAACATCTCAGAGTGGAGATCACTGTGAACCAAATGCTCTACAAGACAACTTCCAAAGCATTTGCACAGAGCCTTTCAAGATGAAAACTTAAAAAAAAAAAAAACTGTGAGCAGAGGCCTTCGTTCTGGAAGTTTGTTTCCTATTCATTTTCTCCATAGGCAGTAAAACAAATCTTCAATTAAGAGTCATGTAAATCATATTTTGTGTATAAACACCACTAAACTTCTTTCTCTTTGTATTGTACATAATTTATCTGCTCCTGCACAAAATCGCATATTATAACAAACGTAAGAAAGCCTCAAACTGCCTTTAAAGCTGACCACAACTCGTCCACAATTCATTACGGTGACAGCAACATCTCTAATTGGTGGATCTCTCTCTAGGATTGTGGGTAGCGTAGTACTTCAGTGAAGATTTAGCAACAAAACATACTTTTACTTTACTTTTTTTTTTTTAAGTTGAATTCATACTGACATGTGGCTTCTACAGAAGCACATGCCATCAACAAGAAGTCTTGAATGCTTTACATGTTTTTAGAAGTTTGCTATGAGCTGGGTAAATAAGGAGAAAAGAATGAAAAAGTTACATAGCGGTAACACATATAGTCTATCTGACAGCTCTATTTTGGGCCTTATACAAACATATTTTTTGCATTATTGACTAACTATTTTCCTAATTAATGCTGTACAGTTGCTTTTACGCAATCTGTATTATTAAAAGCGCTATATAAATAAAGGTGACTTGACTTGACATATGGAGCACAGTCGATTAAAGAGAGAAGAAAGGTTTTCACAGGCAAGCTTTCGGGTGGAGAAAGTGGGACTTTAGGAGACTTGACAAACAAACACGAGTTTCATCTTAAGCAATATGAGCAACAGAGCCATCTGATAGAAGACAGTGCAATCAGAACAACTGTTTTGGGATTATTGCATTCAAACGCGCCACACTTTGATGTTTCTTTCTGCTCTTTTTTGTCTCAAGCCCTTCAGCTTTCATAATCCGCCTTTGAAGTGACTTGGCAACAATGTCAGTGTGTGACACGCTTATTCTTAACATCCAAACACACACAGGCTGTGCAAACCATTCTTTCCTGAACCATTCTTTGCTCTCTCTCTCTCGGTCTTATCAGTAATGCTATACATGTGTCTGGACTTACATCAACTACTCAGTCATTAATTAGACTCTCATTAACAGCAGTTAACACTCTGGACTCGGAACGCTGAGCACACTGAAGGTTTTGCGTGGAGAAACACACATAGTAATTGGACTGCAATCCCTGACTGATAGAGCCAGTTAGACTCCATTATGCTCCTAATATCTGAAACTCGCTCATAAAGAGAGATTAGGAGATCACTGGCCAGGAGATAGCAGAGGTTCAACTTTTCTGGTGCCATGCACATATCAAAAGTTACTGTGTTTACTGGCTTTAATTAATCATAACAGAAATATCAAATATAACTTTGCACAGATAAAGTTAGTAAGTGACTCTACTCCATTTTCTAAAAAAGTCTCGTGGCTGTGTTTAAAATACAATATGTATTTAAGCATCTTGCTCCATAGACAGCATGCAATTACATGCAATTTTCATTTGATATTACAAACTGAGGAATGAGTCAAAATAATTGAGGTTGTAATTGTCAGCATGATATTGTTAATGATGATGCAATGAGATGGAAGCAGTGCCAGATCTCTTCTTCTGTATTGTTACGTACATCTGAGTGTGATGGATTATCAAAAAAGAAAAAATGGGCAAGGACAGATGAAAGTGGAGGCAGATGAACGCGAGCTTATGTGAGAAGTCCTACATATGTCATCAAACACAAATACGCTTCACCGGATGATGGATTCATGATATTAAAGGAGACCAAACAGTTAGGCTAATTAGCCTGTCACATGGCATGTAGTACTAAACTAAGCTCTCTTTCATGTCTTATTGCGCCTAAACTGTCAAATACACACAAGTTTATGTTATAAACGCACATAAGTCTCCTCTAAGACTAGGACTCTAAATAGTGTTCTGTGCTCTTCAGTGCAGCCAAAGACAGAACAGTTAGCATGCTTTGCTCTAAGTTTCACCAAGGCATTAAAACTGGTACACGGTTGTCGCTTGTGAAAACACAATGGTGGCGCCGTGGGTGGAAACGTGCAGATTAAGGGGCAGTAATATTATAATAAGCTCCCCTTTCTACCTCATGGGGGGAGCAAAATCTGAGAGGCTCGTTTTTTCACAAGTCTGCAGAGAAAGGCTCACCAAAAAAAATGTACTGGGTTGTTCTTTTTCACGTTTTCTGGGTTGGTAGATGCACTGGGGACCCGATTACAGCACTTAAACACGGAAAAAGTCAGATTTTCATGTCACCTTTAAATTACAAGGTACACACAAAAAAATATATATTAAAAATTAAATATATCCACGGATTGTTGTTCACAATAACATCTATAACATGCATTTAGAAAAAAGATGGTGAATTTTCATTTCATGCCAACTTGAAATCCCTTTAAAACACAGACATTGCGATGGCACAGTAGAGAAAACCATGTTTCTAAAGGTCAGTATTTATTTCAGGAAAGTAATGAGAATGTTTTTAAATAATTTTGACATTGTATATCCGTGTCACACTGTATTCATAATGATCTGCAGACTGTGGGAAACACATGATACATGCAGGTCTGGAAAGATTGTTTCGTTTATGAGCTTATATGAAACTTTCAGCAGCTGGTATCATTTCCACACTTGCACATAATTTCTGTATCTATCCTGTCAGACCCTGCAGATTTTACTCATTTAGATTGATAAAACACTGATCAAACTGGTGCTTTTGATCATAAACGGCGAGAATGGTTTAGAAATTAAGAAAGAAACTAAATCCTGTTAAACAGAAGGAGAGAGATCAGGAAATCTAATCAGTGCTACTCACAGTGTAACTTACTAGAACCAGTCTTTTTCAAGGAAAGGCAGTTCAATCTGTGGTCATCTTGGGAACACACTCGGGCAGCTATTTTCAGTCATGCAACTACAGCTCCTTTCTAATTGAATAGGGAAATACTGAAACCTCAAAAACTACTTGCAAACCTCACATTTTGATAACAATAACATATCAAATCAGCAATACAGGTACATCTAAAAAAAATTGAATATCATGAAAAAGGTCAATATTTTTTGTCACGTGTTACTGTGCTTGATTGGCCAGCAAACTCGCCTCGTCTGAACCTGAACCCCATAGAGAATCTATGGGGTATTGTCAAGAGGAAGATGAGAGACACCAGGTTTCACTTTCTGAAATGAGTGACAAAAAATATTGACCTTTTTCATGATATTCTAATTTTTTTAGATTAGATTACTACCTGTAAATAGTGCCGTTAAACTTTCACACTGTAAACCAAGAGTAGGCAGACTCCTTACAGACTCACGATTGGCTCTTTTAGTGCTGCATAGATAACTTTTTTTAATGGCCAAAACCCGCAAACGAGTTAACATTTTAGCGTTTCCAGTTCCACTGTTCTGAGGTCACCATTATTACATCCGTAATACCCCTCATGATTTTTTAAAGCTTTTACTGAAAAAGGTGGGGATGCTAATAAATGGCTAAAGGTTGTCGGGACATTAAATGTCATCAAGCTCAAAAGGTAAACTCATATACTCAATAGTCCACTTTTACAGCCTCATTGTGTTTACAACCACACTCTTGAAAACGATTTAAGTTTAACTTTAAGTTTCTAAAAAAGCTATTAGAAGCTTAGTGATGGTGACGTTGAGGTCATGTGGTGGGGTTTGTTTATAGCTTATGTTTAGCTTTTTGCCTTATTTAGGCTTGATGAACAAAACAATAATCCAAACGCCACTAAAAATCCTATCGGGTTTTTGTTAGGGAACCAATGAGATGTCAACTTCTGAGTTGGCCCACAAAAATGTCATGACTGCAGCAGTCTATTTGGAAGGAGAGAATTACTTTACTAGAGCCTCTATATCACGCATTTACATTTCCCCAATTCATTGTAATATCAATGATCTGTCTCTGCTAGAACTTGTCTGAGCTATTGCACTTGCGTCTAAAAGAAAACACGTTTTATGAAGGTTTGTTACTATTAGGTTTGTTATTATTGTACAGTTTGCTGTTAAGATTATATGTAAATTTACTATTTATCTACTATAAAACACTATTTTAAAATAAAGATGCATGAATTATATAGAGACATATGTAAATATACTGTATGCATAGAATACGAAATGAAAAAAAAAAATACATAAACAGTTTACTGTCGCATTGTTTCAAATGGTATTACTGTTTTAAATATACCATGCTAGTCTTCCATTCTGAACACAACTTCTATTTCAGCATGTGTTTATGATGTACACACCGTAGTCACCGTTTGGGAGAGTGCAGGAAAAGCAGCGGTCAGATCCAAAGGAGTGATTTCTAATTCCGACCCTGAACACAGAGAGCATTAGAGCCTTGGTGACAAAACAGAGCAGTTCAAAGCAGGGGTCACCACTTCAAAACGCTCATAAAAACACCACACTCCAATCGGCCATGATCCCAAACCCTCTTTGAAAGCTCCACAAAGGACAGCAGAGTCATGTCTACTCCATAAAAGCC